AACACCATCTTATAATCGTCACCTGTGGCATCGGCCTGTATTGTGTTTACTGTGTTACTAACTGGTCTGTGCACGTTTTGATGTTTTTTTGTTGTGGTGTCACCCGTTGGTTTGTAGACTACCATTTGGAAGCCTTGAAATCCTTGAAATCGGCATTTTCGTCCGTCGCCATTTTGGCCATCTTTTTTGCAACCAGTGAACGGAAGTTACCATATTTGGACTGCGGAAGAGTGACAACTTGGTAGAGACGCCGAATAGCGAGCTCTGGTAGCAGTAGCAACCTGTCAATCACATTAAGCCCGCCCTAAAGCATCCCCTGCTTTATGGTCTGTGTGACTCTAAATGGACCATAATGTACTAAATGAACATCATGCTGTATTGAAGAAGACTTGAAACTAGAGATTGAGACCATAAACTCATGTTTACAATGTTTACTGAGGTAATAAATCAAGAGAGAAGTAGAGTCTTTTTCTCATAGACTTCTATACAATTAGACTTCTTTCTGCAACCATTGAATGTGTTGTAACTCTGTAATGGTGTTCACTCTGTTCACATGACATCTATTGCACTTCTGTCCATCCTGGGAGAGGAATCCCTCCTCTGTTGCTCTCCCACAGGTCTCTCCCTCTTTTCTCCCCGTTAATTTTTTTTGGGGGAGCTTTTCCTGTTCCGATGTGAGGGTTCCAGGACAGAGGATGATTGTACTGTGTACTGATTGTAAAGCCCTCTGAGGCAAATTTGTAATTTGTGATTTTGGGCCATACAGAAATAAATTGAATTGAATTGAACCAGAGGAGTCACCCCCTGCTGGCCAGTAGAGAGAATGCAAGTTTAAAGCTGTAACGTAGTGATGTAGTTACAGCTTTTCAGTTTTGTTCAGTCAGTGTAACTTTTTAAAACCCTTTTATTACAGCGTTTCCATTTTGTCCATTTTACTTACCTCAACTTACCTCGGAGCACTTGGTTCTGGGGCTTGTGGTAAATACAGAACACCTCCCCTTAACTGATGTTTCACAACTCTACACCTTACCTTTTACTCACCCATTCACACACTTTCATGGTGGCTGCTCTCAGGATCAAACCTGACCAACTGAAGACATATTGGATAGGGTACATGAGATACTTTGGTGTATCTGTGGAAGTTGCCGTAGAGACATACATTCTGGTTCACATTTGTAGGGATAAAAATAAAGATACTGACCCTGAAAGAGAATTTGCACTTTTTTGTCTGTTTAGTTAAATCAGCACAGTGAGTTGCAAGGTTTAAAATCTGTAAAATTGTTCTGGACATACGAGACAATTAAAGCATTCCATCTTTCCGAGTGCACTTACAAATAATGCTGAGGTAGGCAGTTTATTCTTGGGCAAAAATTCCATAATAAGCATTCAGCATATTGTAATTCAAGTGATCTGACAGAAAATGATACTTCTGCACCTCCTCTTGGCTGTTTCCAGGCTTTAGAAAAATCTAGCCTGTGACGGGAGACTTTGGCCAATCGCAGGTCGTGACAAAGAGAGGGCGTTCCTATTGGCTGTTCCACAAACGCATATGAGCGTGCACATCCTTTCAGATGGTGAAAGCCGGATTCATCCTGCAGGAAAAGTTGCTATTCCAGCATTGGCAAACAGCAGTGTACACTGCAAAGCAATCCTCAAAAAAAGGAAGACAAAATTAAAAAAAAGAGAATCTGACAATATCGGCCAAGATTCTCATGGAGAGAAAATGTTGCTAATAGATGAGCCCTCTGCTAACTGTAGCCGCGAGCCGTCGTGAGCGAGTCACAGCCGGCTACCGTTAGCAGAAGGCTAATCTATTAGCAACATTTTGGGTGCAAATGCCTGCGCTCATCTGGTGGGAGGGGCTTAGGACAGAGAGGAGAGCTGCAGGATGATAGCTGCATTTTCAAATTCCAAATTACTTATTTTTTATTTATTTATTAGAAAACTGCCTCTCCTGGGGCAATGCTGCAATTACAATATGCTGAAAGATTATAATTTATAGCCCAATAACAGCAAAAATGAAAGCGCCTACCCCAGCTTTAACTGGCCAGCCTTTGATTAAGGCTGGAGAGGTCAAACTCACAGCATACAAGTTTCAAACGAACACTACGTTCTCAGATTTCTTTGCAGGAAACTCATCCGAGTGAAGAGTTAATCGTTTGTCTTCATGAAACTAAACTTAAATCTAGTTCATAACCTCTCAAATAATGACAGACTTCAGAGGAGAAACGGTGCACATGACCCAAACACAGTTTCATCACTTTATTACAGTAAATGAGTCCATATTATACAGAACATACACAGAACAGAGACAGACAGGTTTGTGTTTCTCTCTCTCTCTCTCCGTCTATCCCTCCATCACTCATCAGTCCACCGGGCAGGATGACACCAAAGCTAACGGCATTGGAGTAAAGAATAATGAATAACATGGGACATGTCAACTTATCAGAGAGAAGCAGGAATCTCCCTCAGTTACAGCTGGAGTTTCAGAGACTTTGAAAACACAAACAAAAAGTACAATTTCTGAGATTTGGTTCACTTGAAACATTTCTGCATGTTGCCTGGCAACTAACACGCACCGCACATGACAGGTGCCTCTGTCACAATACAAAAGTCTGCTTTGTGATCAGTATTAGCAGCAAGTTTGAATGCCATTCAGCACGGGTTGAGTACAAGCAGGACATCGTGTTGTGATTTCTAGTCGGACTAAACACTTTGAGATCAAGTCAGAGAGGAGACGTCACTTTCTCAGTGACCTGTAGCTGAAACCTGTGTTTCTTAATACTACACTATAAGAACATATTGCAATGTCACCACACACAAAGTTCTGTTCCAAAACGAGTCAAAGGAACCGAGAAAGAAAAAGGAAGCAAAAACTGATTTTTAAACATTTAAAAATAAAAGTTTTGGGAAGAACTACTGAACGTGAGGAGTTGTATAAAGCTGCGTTAAATCTGACTGAGTCTGAATGAAAAGACCTTCATAGTCTGCTCCTCATCTCTTCTTGAGGCCAGAGGCTGGAGACTTTAGCTGCTTACATTTATCATTTTAAATCTGCTAAATTGAAGACTGGAACATATTTTCACATTGCTCTTCGTGTGACTGTGTGTCCTGCTGGTTACCAAGGACAGAAGGACGGAGGTACTTTAACTGTACAATAAAGGGTCACCAATGGCAAAAGAGAATGTGTCTTGAGAAGGTTTCACTATAACTGGCATGTACAGAACTCTCTAATAATGACTGAACAGCTCCCTCTTGTGAAGAATCTGCAGCAAGTCAAGTCCCAGATTGATATCCATTAATCAATATGCAGCTTTTAGCTTTACATCATTGGTTGAAAACGTACTACTTTACATAAGCACACGTCATATTTTGTTGTACAGGAAGAAAAGCTGATTGGATTTTGATGTATAAATACAAATAAATGGACTTTTTTGTAAATTGTTTTGCCTACATTGATAAATATGAGTGGGGTTTGTGATCTAAAAGGGTTATTAAAAAAAAAAAGTCCTCTTGACTTTAAAGGTACTTTACAAAAAAAAAAAGCTCTTTTAAATTAAATCATTGAAAAGTAAAACAAACAATCGTTTCAGACATTTTGCATTTATTATACTGTGTGGATCAACATTAGACGAGCAGGTTGGAGAGAGCGCTGTCACGCTAACATGACATGCCTTGGTGTCACAGAATGTTTGAAGAGAGTATATTTTTCCATCCAGAGTGAACAGAAAGAAGCATTTTGGAACAGAACCTTTGAAATATTCATTCAACAGTCAGACGGTCCCACAGAGGGCCGGACAGGGAGGACAGAGAGGGAGAATTAGAGGGAGAGAGAGAAACTTCATCAACAAACTTTTTTTTTTTTTTCCTTTGCAGTATTTACATTTTGAATTGTGAAAAATAAAAGAAACTTATTTACAAAAATGCACAAACTAAGACTGTTTCATCGGCGGGATGAGGAGAGATAAGATATAAACAACTCTGTCATAAAAAGTAAAAAGATGAAAATAAAAATCAGTGATATTTACACGTGCGATAAGAGGGAGAGTGAGGGGAGAGGTGGCTTCTGACATCAGAGGGATGAGACCAATCGGCCGGTGTTTTTGATTCCGCCCCAGCAGGGTCACACCTTTTCATGGCCACAGAGGGTCTGACAGCTCTGAGTGTGAACGCGCCCTGCAGAGGGAATCCAACAGGCTGCTTTGGACTCTGGACAGCAAAAAAAAAGAAGCAAAATGAGCCCCGCAGGACTGGCAGGTGAGCTTTGGGGGAAAACTGTTGGTGGGAAAGAGAATGAAAGATGCTCTCCACTCTCCTCGTATAAAATCAATGTGAATGTGCCCAATGTGGTGGAATTAAAAAAGGAAAACGCAAACATGGCTGCAGTGTAAAAACAGCAGGTGGAGGCATGGAGCAATAGTATCAAATATACTGCTTACTAAAAATCTGTATTGTTGACTGCTCTAACCCCCAAAAACAGACTCGCAGGTTGGAGAATGGTCTTCTATTCTTGAGAGAATACATTCTCTCACCCATGACCTCAAACAGCTCTCTTTGATTTTTTAGGGTAAAAATTCAAAATCGGTCCAAGGAGCACACAAACACGGTGACCTAACAGGAAGTCCCCTGCTTGAGATTCACGTTGGACTACTATTCACATTAAGCACATCTTCCTTTCTCTGCACATGTCCATTTGTCTTCAGAGTTATTTTAGTCTTTATACAGAGAACCTGTTTTCAATCATTTCCACTGATGGAACTACAGTTCACTAACAACATTTCAAAGCCACCCGATTCTCGTCTCCAAAAACAAAGGAATAAATACATTTAGGTTTAGCATCCCCACCCCCTCGTCGAGTTTAAGAGAACATTTAATCCCTGCCCCGGCATTCTGAAGTTTCTCTGCTGCATTTAATCAACAGGAGGACCGACATTCACTCAGCTCTTGGGAGTACAAAAGCATTTTTTTCTACACTAACATCAGGACACCAATAATATTTCAGCTGGGGGGGGGGGCGCGTTTTGATTCGATAGCGTTTGATCTGCCGATGTATTTCAGCGGATCTTACAGGGTTTTAGTACGACATCTTTAGAACATTGTGAAATTAAAACTAATTTTGAAACCAGCCTTTTGTTTTCTGTATGACTACATGTCAACAGACAGTATAGGGGAGCCATTAAAGGGTAACTTCTGGATTCCCCATGTTTTTCTGTCTAACCGATGGTCCAGTATTGAGGGAGAACGCTGGAGGTGGAAGTCCTGAAACGTGCTGCAACGTCATCGCTAGGCTCAACTCCTCAATGTACGTCCACTAAAAGTGATTGTTTTTGGCACTGACAGGCTCGCATTGTTATCATAAGTCTCTGACAACATTATGAAAAAAACAAACTCGAGAGAAATAAAAACTTTTTCTTTAACTTGCGCTTGATTCGGTCGGTTTGCGTTTGTGTCTAAACGGGTTGGCGAGAGGGTCAGGCCTGATCCACGTCCTCAAAACTAAAATGCTTACATTGCCCTTGAGATTACTTTGCAGCCCTTTAAGCGTCTCCCGGTCAGAGCGCTCTCACTTAATACTGGACCAACTTCAAAAATGTTGTCCCCATTAACACACCAAAGCATGATAAAATAAAAAAATACCAAAGTTACCCTTTAAGTAACAATATTAAGCACATTTCAAGACTTCTCACTGCTTTAAAATCAATCAATCAAATCAATTATCTTAAAACTATTTCAGACTTTTTAAAAGTAGCAACTGTTGAGTCGGGCAACTGCCCTGATTCAAACGTTTTCACTTCTTTTCATTCAACACACCACGACCACAATGAACGTTAGTTCCGTTTTAAAAGCTCAAAATGAAAAAAAAAAAAAAAAAGAATCAGGCTAATTTGAGTGGAACTTCAAAGACACGTCTGAAAACAACAACTTCCTCTACGTTCACTCAGTTCTAGCACGGTAGCACCAGTGAAACCAGTGAAGGCTGTCAGCTTCCTTTCTTCCGTCCTTCTGGTTTAAAGGGGTGTAAATAGGTTATTTTCTTCAGCAAGTCAATTCTGGAAACAATTCCTTCAAGAAGCATCGATGGTCGTGATACAGAATCTCTAGTTTCTTAGACGAGCTTCAAAATGTGTTTACATTTCCATTGCTGCGATGACAGCTGGTTTTTTATCTAATCGTGAACACAACTAACGAGCTGTAGGACAGAGAGCAAGCAGCGCACTGAGCGGCGTCCAGTGATGTACTAATATTTACACGACTACCATTTGAATTTGGTTGCTCCATTTCAAAAGGCTCGTTTTCTAGATCTGCTTTTCGCTCCACACTTTCTCCACAACCAACATCTACAGGTCGAAACTACTTTTTGAGGTTTAGAAGAAGAGCAGGAGTCGAGGGGTATTCCTCTGGGTGGCCAAACAAATTAACACCTCTGCCCTGCCTGATGTGGGAATGAGTCAAACAGAAATCACGGATAAAAGCTGAAAAGGAGTCTAAAATCCATGATTGATCTTACCTATGTTTTCTATGAGGGAGTATCTCACGCTTTTACCAGGTAACACTCTGTAGATCAGGAAACAAACAGAAGGACAGGTGACCGGCCTGTATAAAGTAACGGAGCCACTGAACCCTGATTCACGTAAGGGGCGAAGCACCTCCGACCAAACACTGATAACTGCTACTGATGAGGTTTCCTACTCTACCTGCCACTTAAGCGTGTGAATTATCAAGACGTGGAGGTTCAATTTAAACCGTAACATCAGGCTGGATTGGTTCAAATAACGTGGCTGGAGCATTAAGGACTCTATCATCCCCGGCATCCGCTCTCCCGCCCTGAGTTGAATAAAACTTTTACCCTGATGACCTACGAGGGGCTACTTCTGACCTCGCTCAGGCAGTGTACAGTTCAGATGCAAATAAACACAGAAGAATATAAAAAAATAATCTTAGGTGGAAAAAAATAAAATAAAACTCTGGCGAACAAATTTTTGCGACCACATGATGCGCTCTGTTAGGCAAATAAATTAAACACAAATATAGAGAAGAAGAAAAAAAGTTGATTTAAAAAGAAGTAAAAAAAAAAAGAAAAAAAAAAAAAAAAAAAAAAAAAAAAGTTATATTACAGAGGACCAGCCCCCACTATTGAACCTTCACAGACCACCTGAGCAGCAGCGAGATGACTACTCTTTGTGTGTGTATGTGTGTTTAACAATCACCTGCCGTAGTTACGACCCCTGGCAGCTAAAGAGCTAATGTTTGTTTGTTCAATGCATTACTGTACAAAAACAGATCATCTAAGAGGAGAGCAAGCAGCATGGAGGAAAGCACTAGAGTGAGTGTGTGTGTGTGTGTGTGTGTGTGTGTGTGTGTTGAGATAAGGGTGAGGCTCGCAGGCAGGCAGGTGAGAAGCTGCTTCAGATGCTGTTAAGAGATCCGGGTACTGAACTGTGTTGAGATGAATCGGAACCGGTACCATCTGAAGGACACAGGAGGGGAACAAAAGACAGTCAGAGGTAAATTCACAGTCCATGACTCAAAGGACCTGACAGCAGTATTTTACATAACGAGCCGTAATTAAAAACAAATACAGATTTTTGGGGATATATAAGGACTACACAATGTTTTCAAACCACTTGAAAATGTTCCTATTGAGTGGAGGAGAGTGAATGGACATGGCTGTAACTGAAAACATAACATTATTTGATATGTGCATTCTCAAGAAGTGCCCAGTACATCAAATCTAGTTAGTTCATGAAAAGTTTTATTGATTTCATATCTAATACTGCCACCTTGTGTCAAAAAAAACAAACAAAAAACATTACTCTGAATACAACAAAAATATATAGTAGAGACGCAGCGATCAATCAGTTGATGCTCGGTGAGGGGCCAGTCAGCTACAGACTTTACCCACCGCACCACACAGCGGCAGAGGCACACACATCACATGTGTCTCTGAGTGAAGAGGACAGAGAGCTCTCAATCTGTTACAACAGCAAGTCGTGGAGGAGCAACCGTAAAACATTTGGAACAACTAACTCTACTAACACACCTACTATATTAGAATTCATTCCCATGAATGCTGATCACAGTGACCGGCTCATCTGTTGACAACACAGAAGTAACGGCTAACGTTGAAGGAGGTTGCTTTGACTGAACGTAAATTATTACGCTATCATGTGTTCAAATGTAATCCTATCGAATGTTTTCAGTGAGAAACCTGAATAAACTCACTTGTTTGAAGAAAATCTTTTCACAGCAGTATATATATATATATTAGAGAAGGAATTATGACCTATTTAACTTTCCAACTCTAGTTCTAAGCAACTTACAATATATAAACACAAGAACTAATGCCAAGATATGTCTTTAATCAGAGCAGGTATTTCAATAAAAATACAATTATTTTGGATGGATCCTTTTGGTTTGAATTGCGTGTTTTCTGCAAATAAACACTATAGATGATTAAAAAAAGGTTAACATTTAGATTCTCCGTGACGGTGGGGCAAAAAGTCTTGAGCCTTGCTATCAATAATAGTTCTAAGAAAGAAAACCTGAATGGGCAGGTTTGATTTGTAAAAAAATCAGACAATCGGCCAAGAAAACTGCAATCGGTGCATCTCTGATATTTAATACAGAACTGCTACAGACTATTTCTTTAAAATCTATTTAAAATAAAAGGCATAAAAGTATTCAGTTCCAACCTAGAACATTCCTGCAGGACGGTCAGAAGGAAAAACTAAACCTAGTCCCTTTGACACATTGTAACAAAATAAAATAGACGAATTTGCCTCCTTAGCGAATTAAAATTCAGTACATAATAAAATCTATATATACAAATGTGTTAAATCAATTTAATTCAAAATTTTGACTTGTGATGTCTGAATTGTTATTTTATAATGGTATTCATGTTGAACACCACAACACCATGATATTGACAATAATATTACAACAACATTAACAGAAGAGTTCCCCACCGTGGGCGGAAGCAGCTGTGTGAGAGCGGGCGTGAGGAGGGATGAGGGTTGAGTTCAGCTGGGGCTGGATGGACAGCTCTGCAGAAAATAAAAGCAGAGTTCTTATTTAACGATGAGTCATTTATCAAGAGGACAGTGTCACAGAACAAGAGGATAGTGTACGCTGCATTAATGGCACCTCCTCTGAGGTCACAGCGCGGGATTGTATTTAACGAAACAGATGGTGATGAATCCATTGAGCACAACGACAACACAGTTTAACAATCTGTCAACCAAAATGGATGGAAATGGGACAGTTCACCTCAAAACCTAAAATACATATTTTTCCTCCTATCTGTAGAGCAGTTTATTAATCTAGATAGTTTTGGAGTGAGTTGCAGAGAGTTGGAGCTATCCACCATAGAGATGTCTGTTCTCTCCAGTTTAACTGAACTAGATGGCACTCGGCTTGTGGTGCACAAAGAAAAAATAAAAGAACAAAAATTTGGAAAAACTCAGCAGCAATGTCTCTTTCCAGATATCCTGACCCGGTTACTCAAGATAATCCGCAGACCCTGTTGTGAGTAATTTCATGCAGGAAGTTTTTTCTCTCCACCGAACTACACCCACCAACCGTACCAAGACGTAGAAGGAAAGCGTGCGTCTACTCGTGCATGTACCTGTGGTGCTGAAGTTGAAGAGCATCGGCAGTTCTCTGCCGCTGGGCAGTCGTGTGTTCGGCTGGCGCAGCTCTTCGAAGAAGCCGTGCGAGCAGGCCTCTAGTGGGGAGAACCGCGAGGCCGGCGTGTACTCCAGCAGCCGGGAGCAAAGGGTAATGGCCTCTGGAGGGGTGCGAGGTTTAAACACCTGAGGAACGAGAAGAGTGTGAGTCCAAGTATGCACAAAGAAACCCCCTTATAGAAGAGTTCTGAATCTAAAAAAATCAATTGCATGCATTGGAGTAGAAAAGCTATCCGCTTTGTAGTAAATGTGAAAGGGCCACTTCTCTGGGTTTTACGTAGTTTCTGTACTCTTTAAGTGTCACAGGGTTAATCGACATTCAGCAGGAGGGCACTAAAGCGCTTCAACTAGTAGATTTAAATAGACTGTGTGGGCAACAGCACGTCCACTGGTATTCTCTAGAAACTGGTGTAGTGTCACTTTCTGGAACAAATACCTTTGTGTACATGTACAAATGTAAAACATTTGCAGAGTTTGCTCCACACAAAAAATGTACAAAATTGGTCTTATACCCTATGAAGAGTGTTGTCATTGACACATGGATTCAGTCTACATGTCGGACAGTTGAGAATACTCACTGGCCTGCAGTGTCTTTCCTGGGTGTTTCCTTACCTTGGTCCATGGATGAGCTTTGATCTGAGGAAACTTGAATTCTGTGTAGTTTGGGTTCATCTCTCGGATTTGTTCCCTTGTCGGGGTTCCTAGCACCTGAGAATAGATGTAGGAGTATGAGCAGTATTCTACAGACACACCGACAAGCACGAACCAAGTATATATCAAACTCCTATAATCTCCACTGAAAAGAGGAATTACAAGTGACCCTACGATCGGTTCCACAGCACACAAGACTCCTCATAAAACGCACTCACCTTGATAATCTCGACAAGCTGGTCCACCCCGCTGTCACCGGGGAATATGGGTTGTCCGAGCAGCAGCTCAGCCAGTACGCAGCCTGCTGACCAGATGTCAATGTTTGCCGTGTAGTCCGTGGCACCGAAAATGAGCTCAGGGGCGCGATAGTAGCGAGAGCAGATATACGACACGTTGGGCTCCCCGCGGACCAGCTGCTTGGCGCTGGGTAAATACAAGAAATCAGATCAAAACGATAAAGATGGCAGCAAAAAATGGCTGAGGTCCAAGGGGACGGAAGGTGTGAACTATTGTGCAGGAAATGGCTATCAAGAGTTCTTTGTTTTATTCCTCTTTCAACAGACTACAGAGGTTCTTAACCTGCAAATGTGAAAGGGTCCACTGGACGTGAGTCGATCTCAGTCGGATTTTACTTGACATTATGATACATTGTGGCAAATTAAAAAGTAGCCTCGCCACAGTTTTACACGTGCCCAACCCTAGAGAACACTGCGCAAAACAAGCGTGGTCAGCATAAAGAAGTAGCTCTGCCATAATGAATACAGACCCATGATGCCGCTGGGCTGTTTGAAATGGTTATTTCATGCCTAAACCTTCGGATATTATCTGCAGTGGTGTCCGCTCTGCACATACAAACACGCTACACCTCTTGATTTCTCCGTTGTTAAAACCATTCTTCCATCTGCTCATGCAGCTCACCTGCCAAAGTCACACAGCTTGAGGATGGCAGTTTCTGGGTCGACAAGCAGGTTTTGGGGCTTGATGTCTCTGTGACAAACGCCTTGGGAATGGATGTATGCCAGACTACGAAACAACTGGTACATGTACACCTGAGGAGGTCACAACATAAGAACAAGGTGTTCAAATGGAAACAAACTAAAATAACAACAATATGGTGCTTTGTATTACTGTGTTAGAGTTTCAAAGATGCCCCCCCAACCCATTCCAGAGAAACAATACGATTAGTACAAAACACAGAAAGGTCATGGTAGGAACAGGCTGAAAATTACCTTCACATATATGATAGGAATGATGCTCTTGGCCTTGTTAAAATGCCTGGCAACCCTGTAGACCGTCTCAGGGACAAAGTCCAGCACCAGGTTGAGATACACTTCATCTTTCTGTGCAGCACGGGACAGAGAGAGATCGTTGGGTTAAAATGTGCATGATTAAATATACACGTTTGCCCTACCCGTTGTTATACAAACCAATGTTACAGGAACACAAACTGCTGTTGATTTACAAGATGAATATTTTTTTTATCCATTTATCTAAAAATAAAAATTAACACATAAACAGAATCCAGGAATTTACTTCAACAAAATCTAAAATCAGAAGTGTTTCTCTGTCAGTCCAAGAAAGGGACTGCTTCCCTTTTTATGCTGCATCCTTGTAAAGTTATATTTTATATGCATTATGACATAATTTCCTCTGTTTTACTGGAATCTCCTGAAACTATGGTGCTGTGAGATAATCTTGTGTGAATATGGGGACTTGGTGAACAGAATTTTATTTACAAATGAGAAGAAAAAAACAAATGCATGAGCTGTACCTTCTCTCCACTGGAGTAGAAGAAGTAACGTAGCCTGACGATGTTGCAGTGGTCCAGCTTCCTCATGATCTGTAGTTCCCGATTCTGCAAACACGTGAGCGGAAAGGTGAGAAATCAAGAACACCAACATGAGAGGAACTTTAAACAAGGACAGGGAACAAACACGCTTATTCCCAAACCAACTTAATCATTTAGGAACAAAATCAAACAGAGAACAAGAGAACATGTGGAGAAATGAGTTTATTACCTTGAACCTCTTATCCTGCAGAACCTTCTTAATGGCCACCATCTCCTGGCTGTCGATGAGGCGAGCTTGATACACCACACCAAACGACCCATTGCCAATCACCTGAGGTTTTCACAGAAGAGGAAACAGTCAGACACTCGGCACCAAGCACAAATTACAGACATGATTTTATAAGGCTCTTGATTCTGACTGCTGATATAGAATTTGAGGGTTGGAATGGAGTTCACAGTTTATAACAACCATTGTCCCAACTGTTCAGTTTATGTTCATTTTCAGTTTAAAAAAAAAAAAGTAGGTCAGCTGCAAATTGTGATATTAGTTTTGGGGGAAGAGTCCGTCTTCACAGCACAGGCAGGTTTAAGCTCACAGAATCATTCCTATAAAACTATCATACATGACAACATATGGAAAAACATTTTAAAACTCGTAGGCCAACATTGATTTAGCCGGTGCTGCATTCATACTGAAATCATGACGGGAAAGGAAGATATTTACTCAAAATAAAGTGGATGAATAATTCCTCCAAAGTGAGACTCTGCCGGTCCTCATCCAGCTCTGGGCTTAGCAGCACATGTAGACAAACGGCCTCTCTCCGTACCGCTCACCGGCTGAGCAAGAAGGCCTGGAAAAGGGCCGCCGTTCATCTGCATGCACCGCCAGTGCTGCGGTGATACAGCCAGCCGAAAAAATGGCAAAGCCTCACCACAAGCAAGACCATGGTGAGTGAAAAGGCAAAAGCTGTCCGTTTTTATTACCTTATATCCACCTAATATATA